TATATATATATATATATATATATATTAAGTAGGAGCGGTGGCGACTTAAATAGGATTAAATTTGACACTGTAGATTTAACAGTAAAGGAGCATTTAACCGGATTTTTTTTTCTTCAAGAGACCTCGACGCATTCCGTACGCGAGAAATTTCATTTGTGTCTTTTAAGCAGAACGCGTACAACGACGAATGAGAGTATTAGTGTTGCAAATGATATTTTTATGGTCTAGATCGCGCGACTACACCTTACCGAGCGAGAAGAGTCAGACAGAAAATCCACGACACAGAGTTATTAAGGTTTTACCGTGGATGCAGATTTTACTGCCGAGATAGCTTCATGACACAGTAGCTTTGTTAACTCATTACCCTCCCCCCCGCGGGGGGGGGAGAGATATTGCTATTATCGTAATTGTTAGGGTCCCCGATCCCACGTGAAGGTACCACTAACAAGCGTTAGCGCAATTTCGAAAGTGTGATATTTTTTTAAAACATATCCTCGGGAAATTAAAATATTGGAATTCGGATTGACGTTGGCGCAAGGTAATTTTTATTAGAAATCGCGCGCCAAAAGTTCAGGGAGGATGCGAATCATCGTAAAAATATGTGTGGGCGCGAAAAAAAGGTTGCTGTGCTGCTTATAACATTACTGAGGTTGTCCTAACGTAATCTATGTTTGTTTCCTTTTGTGAAAATTGATGGAGGAAATTGTTTAACGCTTTGGAGTTTTCTTTTCAATGTGATTTTCGGCGATTGACGTGCTTTTAAGTACATGTCGTGTGTGTGCGCGCGCATATACGTTCCTTCTCTCGATTAATACATATAAATCTCTCCTGCTTTCGAAGCGCCATGTGTCGGACGCAAGATGTTTCTCTGTGTGTTTCGTGTGTGCTTACATATACAAAACTGACGTTGATGCCGTTCGTGAAGTAACATTCTGTAACTTTCCAATCACGTATTATTCGAAACAGATCAATGTGCTTTGACAAGTTGCAGGTTCAGCAGTCTCTCTGTTACTATTACATAATTATCCAAGTCTGTCCAAAATATGCCAGTTAACATACCGTACATGCATGATTTTCTTTCCCTTTCGATTCAATCGTGTTACATTCATTCACATTATGGACCGTTCCTAATAATTTAAGACAGTAATAAAAATGTTTGAGCGTTCAACTGCACTTAATTTTTATTTTCATAGCAAGAGTATCGTGTATCAATATTTTTAGCCGTTATTGGCGACTTATGGTTATGGCTCGTCTCCTAATTGGTCCGGTACACACATTACCACTTTTTCACGATTTACCATCTTACGCGTTTTATGTATTGAACAAATATAATCACAAAAGTGGTAATGTGTGTGTCTCTAAATGTAAAATTCTTGTATCTATAAAAAGAACCTTATAATCCTAAAAATAGTTCTAAAAGAAACCATTCTTAATAATCGGAGATATTATCTCTAGTTCACATGTCACTCTTAATATTTAATTTAATTACATTTTATTTTTGATAAAAAATTTTTGAAAACTTATTTGGGAACTCTTGACAATAAGATATCAATACATATGGGCAGACGAGAAAGTGATACAACATATCTTTCTGTGTTCGAATCATTCAGAGACGAACCAGCCAAGGCGAGCAACATCAATTGGAGCAAAGCACATCCTTTTCGTTGTATCGTCAAATCAGGACGAGCTTGAAGCGCGGTAGCGCGAACCACGTCGCGATCATGAGGAACATGCAAAGGGCATTAAACATTCGTCGGGCACCATGACGCACGCAGAGTTCATCAGAAAATGAATTTAAATTGTTTTTTTTTTGCAAATTTCTCTTTCCGAGATTTTACGGAACTAATGACATTATTGCGCCTAAAATGGATCGATCAAGTCTTTACGAAGCTTCAGATCTGAAATATGTCGGATTACGTCAAATCACAATAAAAAACGAATTATCGATAAACTTATCATAAAGCTGATAAGATGAAAACGATGCTAAATGCAGGATGCAATATCGATTGATAAGAATATTAATTAGACATTTTAACTATTTTAAATGTTTTTAATAACTGATATAAAAATGGAATATTTCGAATAATTATGTTATATAACGAATTTATAATTTATTTTTATTTTTTGTTTTAGTTGCTCTTTTATAAATAATTAACAATAATACAATTAAAACGTGCATTTTTAATTTCAAGAAAGCAAAATTCAGAAAGTGAATTAAAGATCGGTATATTTAAGATATATGTATATATTGGTTTGGTGATTTAATAATAATAATATTTAAAAATAATAAATAAAATATTTTCATCAGCTTTAACAGAAAAGTTATGATTAACAGTGCACGCATGTATAATTCGCATAATTCTGTGCAATACGTAATAATGCGCGCTGCATTTATATCTATTCTATCGGTGAAGGAACGATTTCGCTGAGAGTCAAAATTAAATAGAAAATTATGTTGCAGACATGCATGATATTTTTTTAGCTGTGCAAATGTGCCAAGATTTTGACGAAAGGCAAACTATTCGACACGTGTCTGTTCGTGATTCATTAATCTACGGGTGTCTTCTTTCTGCATTTGTTCGCTATACTGTATCGTTTCAATAAGATTCTCTTTCGTACTGTCTGAATTTTGTCCACTGATGCAAAACAGCAATCCTTATTACGTTTAATTAACATATTAATAAAATTTAACAATGCATTAAGTACTACCACTTTCCTAAAATCACTAATATGACTCTATATAGATATGCTTGAATTTAATTCGTGGTAGTATTTAATGATCGAGATGAGATTTAAATTAATCTATATTTCTATACTATACTGGTTAGTATACCCTTTCCGATTAGATATTTACAAAGCAGCCGATTGATTTTCATCACAAAATCCATACCTTGTTGTAAAATGAAAATAATGTATTATTTCATATATCATTCTGTAATATAATAATTTATTATTATGCTTGGATCTCTCCAATGTTTATAAAATGTCATAGGAACTATATATTTTCCTGGTTTCTTGTATTTTCTACTATTTTTTTTTTTTTTAATCATTTGGAATACCAGTTCGCATTGCGACTAAAATGATTCGTTAGATACTCAGATGAAGTTATGTACACAGCATGTATTATATATTTGGAGAATTTGGGATGGAAGTTGGGTTGAGAAATCACACGTGCATACGGCAATCGATAGCGATGGACTAGCTGTAACCGACTTTAAAAGCTTAAACACTTCATGCATTAGATTTAAAAACGAGATATGCTTTTTCCTCTTAATTGTTAAAGAATCTTCGACGTCAGTGTTATTAGAGGGAGTATATTGTCGATCGAATTCACGACCGCCTAGTCCATTCCTATCTGCCCCCGAAACCTATTACATAATAATAATTAGTTAATTTCAATAACAGAGCGATCGTTCAAATTGTGTTTTTTGTCACGAATGAATTGTCACTTAATCAAGGATGTTCGGCAATATATAAAAATATACGTATATTATTACTGATATTATTTAAATAAAGTAATTATTATTATTCTTTATGATTGCTGCTGTGTTGTCGTCGTCGAGTAATTTACAATATATTGGCCCTTCGCACATCGTTATATTATCTTCACTGATGTTCTTCCTTTTGCTAAGAAAATCGCATGTGTTTTTTCGACATTAAGTCATTGAAGAAATATTTACATTTATCCCAACACAACACAAAATGACTATCTCTGCTAGATACGCAGAAGCCTAAACTGTTGAAACGTTATGAAAATATTAAATCGATCATCTCAAAAGAATTACCGTCTGTAGTATTTTTATATGATCCTCCCTCGGCCCCACGCTTTATTTTTGTTTTATTTTATCGAGAGTTTCTTATCCTGGTTTCTTTATTTGCTCCCTTTCAGACTCATCTGTAGACAAGCGAACACGGAGATAATTGTTAAAAAAAAAAAAGCGAAAAAAGAGCGAGACAGAAATGATTACGGCGAACATGACTGGCCATGACGGGCAGTTGGTGCATTTAGAAAATCTCTGGAATTAGTGTGAGAGAGGCATTATAGGATTATTAAATGTAAGTCCAAATGTAGCAATAAGCAAGTGTACTCGGGACTGTACACGGGGTGTCGCCGACGCATCCCTCTACACCGAGAGAAAAATTAGTGCAATTAGATTTCCATTAGAACTTTTATAAGACATTTAGAAGACGCAAGTGTAAAATTAAACGTGGAAAAGAAGACATTATTTTTAAACAACAAATTTTCAATCACGAATATCATCGTAGATTGTTAGCTTGATAAGAGATATTTTCCTCTCGGTGTCCTCTGTTTTGTTGTTCGTGAAACCCCGAGAAGACTTTCATTTATTCGAAATTATCGATTTTGCATAATCATTTAGTTGAATTGTATATCGTGGATTATAAATGTTTAATGTTTAGTAGAAAATTTTGGATTTTCCAAAAACTAATCCAGGAAGTATTTCGGAAATATATCACGCGCATTATTTCACAACAATACATAAAGATTAAAGCGATTACATTTATTTGTAATAATTCTCTTTTCCGAGAACTGATCGACTGGAGAAAGGGTCGAGAACACGTTTTTCGAGTCGACCGCCTCGATCTGCTTTCGGCAACGTTACGCGAGTACGCTATACGTTTAAGTTATTTATTGTTTTTTTTTTCTACCGTGCGCTGCCTTACATGTCTATTTAAGGAATTCTTACGCGGCTATCGAGTACACGCAACGAGCATCACTTCCGGAAGTCTATACTTACGAAGACTGCTTTCACATTTCTATCGTCCTTAGAGTATAGCTCCTTTTATCCAAAAATCTCTCTTTTAGATCTTTTACATCCTTTAGATCTGTCGAGCATAATTGTGCGCGCATAAACTGTCGCGAGCAGCGGTATTTTACTTATGCAGATCTGTTTTATCAAGGCGCCGCGTCTTATACGATTGCTGATGATTTGTCACTTGATAAGCGTGCGCGCGTTATTAGATACACTCGGACGTGTCTAACACGTCTGGTGTGGTACGCGTTTTTCAGAAGCTATGTCCGCGAAACGTGGACGAACTGAGATCGTGAGTGCCGAGATGTATATATAAATTGCGCTGGAAGGTATTAGCGGTAACCGGCAATTACCTCAATAGATCCCTGGCATAGATATTCTAATGCGAAACTTGCCTCAATTGCCGCGAGTTAATTGTCATAACAAGGCACAAGTTTCCGTTGCGTTTCTCTGCCAATGAAACTATCGAATCCGCCGCGATAACCGCGGTTATCATTCCACTTGTGTAAATATGCTCCCGCGAGAGAGAGAGAGAGAGAGAGAGAGAGAGAGAGAGAGAGAGAGAGACGCATTCTTGCGTAAATCTGAGCGCGCCTTCAACCTAAAATCATCCGCAGTTTAGCGAAGTGTCATTAATCTAATATCGATAAGCGCGTTCTCCTATTAATTTACAAAAAAAGATCAATCTGGAAAGCATTCCTTTTCGCACTTACGATCTCGCACGATTTCTCAGTTCGGGGTTTCGCTCTTCGCGCCGTCGTCGCGAGCGAATACGGTTCTTTCGCGTTTCTTGTACACGCAGTATTAAAAATAGAGATGTTTTTTCGAGGAACAAGAAGCGACCGTGCGAATGTAATATAATTCACGACAGCGGCAGCAATAAAACTCCAAAAGTAATTTGGAGATGTAGTTTGGGCAAATTTGAATTATGTAGAAAAGAGACGAAGTATCCGTTAAGGTGAGATGAATATCGTCATAAGCATAATAATGCAATAATCGAGAAAATTAAGCGGAGAACGGTTATTGACTTCTCTCTTCTGAATAGCATCACGGATTTTTCCTCACCTCCAATTTACTACATTGATTCTGTTTGAAATATTCTAGTGCAATGAATTAGAGAGATTAAGAAGACAATCATAAAACAAGTAAACCAATTCGGCACACGACGAAGATATTACTAAATTATACTATATAAATAATATATTTTATATATTTATTGAAATAATACATAAACTATAAATTATATCGTAAAGCCTTCTTCATATATTCAATGAAAATTTTTATTTTAAGTAAAAATTTTAATTCTAAAAGTATTAAGTTGTTGAAACAATTCAATACTGCTGTAAATATATGCAGAAGTCAATAACTGTACGCGTTATATATAGCGAATTTAATATAAATTATAAAATATTAATAAAAAGAATTAGAGATAATAGAAGGTATCAGAGAATCTCATTATACGATTTCACCCCAACGTAACGGTTCGGTAACCGTTGAAATGTAATCTGCGATTAGGGTGATATTATTGTGAGAACTCGGCACGCTTGAAGCCGCGTTCAAGTGTCGCGCTCGACGTTCATTCTGTACATACCCTACTCACCGAAAGATATTATTTGCAGATTGTGAAAAATATATATATTTATACATGTATATGTATACATATAAACGGTGCACTTATCCAGGCGTAGATTATTATCCAAGGCGACGGATATTCGGCAACAAGCGTACTTTGTGAACGGAACGGTATTCCTCGTCGAGAGAAAACGGAATGATATCTTTCTCGACGAAAGCACTGATGTAATCCTTTTAATTTGTAAGTAAAAGCGAAAGGTTTGCGACTGTTTCGATAAAGTGTCATTCGATTCATCACAAATATGCTTATTATCGAACACCCTCTATACGCCGCGCGACCACGCGCGGTATCTTGCATTTTCTTTCATTTGTTTTTTTTTCCTCTCCTGCGACTTTATCGCGATGTCTCGATACCTCATTAGGCGGATGCATTAGTCCAGCCAACTGATGTACGATATTGAAGAATAAATTATTGTTGCGTTCTATTTATTTACAACGGAATTGATTTCACATGCTCTCTGCTCGACCACCAAAAGAATCCTGAAATCTGTCCCGTTTATAACGTTGCAATTTAATACAATAATGATGTTTATTAACGTTTACGACGCTAC